TTAATTCAAAGGATTTCTTAATTACTCGATCCCTCCAATCTAGGATCCTCTCCCCATATTTATATAAATTAATCGAATGATCATTCTTATATGATCATATCTGTTCATTTATTAATTAATTGCACCTAATTATTTTAATCATCCCTTGGTTTTCTAAAACAAGACAATGCCATGCACATGACTTTATGCATAAATGTCCCTCGAATTCAATAGACTAAATTTAAGTCGTTAATTAACTTGTTGATCTTTTTAATTGAATGGGGTTGATCTTTTTTTATTTTTATATATGAAGTACATGTGTATGATTAGTATATGTATAAACTTAATTGCACTTTTTTTTTTTTTATCAATATATAGATTGATGCGCTAAAAATGACATCTCTACTCTTACTATATGTCTGGATTGAGAAAAAGGGAAGAGAGGGGGAAAAATAGTTTTTTTATTAATCAAATTATAATATTTTTTAAATATTATAATTTGATCGGTCAAAAAATCCTTCTCTTTTCTCTCCTGCTCTCCGTTCCCCTTAACCCCAAATATCTTATTAATCAATTAGTAATGCACACACGATGAATATGTCTTTTGAAGGGCGGGCTAGCAATGACAAACATCAAACTCATTTTAAAAAATAATAGGATAAATTAAATAAAAATTAAATCAAGATTGGTGAATTTTATAAGTAGCTAGATAATGTGGGGGTCCAACAGGCCACATGGCAGTGGAGATTGTTGTTTGGATGATGGAGAACCAAAATTCTAAGCCGGTAATCTAGACTTTGAAATTGCCGCTTAACACATAATCTACGTTGCCTTTTCTCAAATGAACACAACATCGCGTGCTGTTCAGCTCGATCCGCGCGCGAGAGTTTCTTCAACCCCAGCTGAAGATGATTTTATAAGTACCACACTACTTACTAGCTAGTAGTAGAGATTAATTTGACAGAATGAATGAACCATAGCCATACAAATCAACATCGTTTTTTCTCTCTTCCCAACTTTAATTGAGTAATCATTATAGTATTTGCATCCAGTCCAAATTCAAATCCCTAGCTAGCTACAATGAAATCAAGAAGAAGTTCACTACTAAAGAGTTTATTTTGAAATGTTTGATCCAACTTCAAATTTAACAATAAAAAGAAAAATATTTTCAAAAACCGAGTTAGATAAGCAATAAATCATAGTATTTGTTAATGAAATTTTCCTGATGCATTCTAGTACATGGTAACAAAACTACAGGGTCCCATTAATAAAACATTATAATCTTAGATTTTTTTTGTAATGTTTTAAGGGTTGGAATTAATTAATACCCCTTAATTATACTCTCATTAATTCATTTTGCTTATCAATAAATAAATAAAACTATATGGTACATCCCTAGTGTGAATGCTTGGTGTTTAAACATGTTTTTCTTAGGCATGTATTCATGCTCTAGCAAAACAACCCTAGCTAGCTAAAAACCCTAGACTCGACCCGACCTATAATATCCAAGGGAGTCAAGATCATTAATTATTTTATAGGGTATATTAAGCCCTGGTCTTAAGTAGTATATTACCAGTGTGTAGTAGTAGTAGTATATATATTTTAATATAAGAAGAAGAAGAAGAAGAGGTTCCAAAATCCATTTGCCTTTCCGATCGAGTGCTTCATTTCGAGGCGACACGAGCACTTTGCCGGTGATTCCTCCCACCACCCCCTCCATGGAAATTCTCAAATTTCTTTTCTCTGGATTCTCGTGACCTCCTTTGTCCACAAATACCCTCACTCCTTCAAAACATATACATGGATGCCACTTTGCCTTCACACAGCTAGCTAATCCCAGGTAACATCCATCAATAGTATATATCTTCCATGGATCAAAAAGTGATGAGATCGTTCCTGCATTTGCGCATGTTGCACACTAATTCAAGCATATAGACGTCACCAATTCTATGTTCTACTGGAGTAAATATCTATGCTAGCTTGAGATAGATCAATCCATGGAAGTCCATATTCTCTTTTCTTTCGTTTTTCCGGCTGTCGACTGTATCATGTACTCCTCCTATGATCTTGATGAATATCCAATTTTAATACAAATAAATACTTCTTTTTTTATAAATTTATATTGAAAAAACACTAAAAAAAATTGTCTTGCAACACCTTTTATTGTAACGGTTTATATTAAAATTATACTAAAATAATATTGGTGACACTTTTTATTATGATAATTTATGTTGAAAAAGAATATAATAATTAAATTTTTTTAAGTAAAATAAAAATAAATCTTTAATTTATCAAAATAAGAGCTGCTTTTATTTCTTAATTATGTCCTCTTATCACTTGTATAATATTTTTTTTAAAAAAAAAAAGGGGAAGAAAAAGAAGGAAATATAATTTGGGGGATGGTCAAAGCGTGGTCAAAGCAGAGCATGCAAAAAGGATAATTTGCACGGTTGGCTGCAACTTTTGAATATCCAGAAGGCAAAAAAAGGCTTTTGAAAATAAAATAAAAAATAATAATAACTGACACGTGTCAGTCACATTCTTTCTTTGAATTTGGCCGCAGCAATATCCTGAATTCTGAAACGACGTGAACAGGCGCCTCATTTATTGTATTTTCCAGAAATGGCCGGTGGCTGTGGCTAATCCCCACTCTCCCTTCTCTTTAATTTCTCCCCACATTTTCCAAGATCAAAACATTAAAGCAAAGCAGTACCATTTTCTCAAAAAAACCCAAAAAAAAGAAAAAACCATTTTTCAGAGAAACAAAAGCAGATTCTAAACTATTACTAGCAAGTCGAGAGTTTTCTTCTTTCTCTCTAAAAAAATATATGTACGTACTCCATCCCTCCAGTTTTTTTTTTTTTAATTTCTTAATTATCAAGGTTTAGTTGTGCAACCTTTTTTTTTTCCTCTAAAGTTATACGCATCGGCAAAAGATTTTTTCTTTTTATATGGTTTTTTTTTTTTATCTGATTCTGGTTGATCAAATGGAAATGGGTACTAAGACTTTTCATTTTTTGGTTTTTGCTGGTATATGTTGAATTGGGTTTTAGGGTTTTGGTGTTTAAAAGGTGGTAGAAGGGAAGAGAAAGCGAGGAACGTGGCTTCTGCTCCCCTTCCGCGGTGCATTTCGGTCAACGTGAATTTATATATAAGTGTTTGTGTTTTTCTACAAGAATTTGGGGGAATCGTGTCATCAACAGAAGCAGGTGATGATTCTGATCATCCACATATTTATTTTAATTTCTCTGCAAATATATATTTTTTATTTATTATCATTTTGTATAAAAAAGTAATATGTATATAAGAACACTTTGAAGTCTGAAACACAATTGATCAGTTTCTAAATGATATAGAGAGATTCACTTAGATATTGAAACCATTGTATATATTAATTAAAACAACATTGATAAAATCTAAAATTAAATGAAATAAAAATGAATGTTCCTCCTGTACATAGAGAAGAGTAGGATCGACTCCTCCCTAATTTAAACATATGAATGGGAAGCTAATACCAAGCAACATGCATGCATGCGTATCTGCAGGTGTGTGTGCATGTGCATAACTAGTAGAATGATCAATTCTTAATCTCTTTATTAGAAAGATTCATTTTAAAATTATCTGGAATGATGAACGAACAAGAATCTTAATTTATTTATTATAGGATTGTGTCTTTGTTAATATATTAACCTATGTAGAAATCAATGAAATTATGTATGTAGTGTAATCGCTTAGTTTATAAAATCTAAGTTATTCACACAGGTCAAACTTAGCTCAGAAATATACATATATACTATAGTATATATGGAACTTATATATTTTATAGATTTTTCTAAATCATGTGAATATATACAATTTTTTTTTAGTTTGATTATCTTAATTAATAAAATGTGCATGAGTTTACAAACAAAAAGAGATTATTTTCATAAGTTGCAATATTTCTCTCAAATTGTTTAATTTTAGCTGTAAAGTAGTTTTTACTTAGGTTTATGTTAGAAGGTAAATTTGCAATTGCAATTTTTTTTTTTTTTAAGTTGGGGTTCATGTATTTTAAATATTAAAAAAAGCTGGCCTAGTTGGATGCCACGCAAGGCAGATTTAAAAAAAGGGCTTTAATTTGTATTCTGTTTTACCTTTTGACGAGTGCGAAAACCAATTAAGCGGTCAACAGATTTCTACTTGGAGAACCAAACAAAATCCTTTCAATCTTTCTTATACAATTCCCCTTGCTTTTTCAAAACTATTTTTTACTGTTTCTATTTTGTTGTTACATTGACCAAAAGTAATTCTTACTCCTCTCCCCCTTCTTTTAATATTTATTATGTCGGATTTTTTTCCATATAATATTGCATGTCCGTACACGTGCATCTTCAACACATGCAGGGAAACTCGGGGATCTACAAATTTGGCCACCAAACCCATTTCAGAGATCATCTTTAGCTCCTTGGTTCTATTTATTTTCATTGTCTATATATCAAGCTATTCGGAGATTCGACTCATTTGCTAACTCGAATATATTCAACTAAGTTTTTTGTTGATTGTTGTTATTCGTGAATCTATTAAGTACTTTTGTATTTTTAATTTTATTTACAGTTAATTAAGAGAGAGAGAGGAAAGAAGATAACTTTACGTAGAATGGTCAATTTTTAGACTAAGAGATGATTTGCCGTGTGTGGGAATGCTGGGCTTTGGGGAGTCATTTATTGCATAGAACGAGGACGAGAGTTCCAATAAACCAAGTGGGTGGTGTGGGATGTGGGGATAGAGAGAGAAAGAAGAAGAAGAAAAAAAAAAGAGTGGATTTTTCCAGTTGGAATTGTAGGTTTGTCTTAGTACAGAGGCAGTAGAAACCCTAAAACCATAATTTAATCCGAAACAGCACTCGTGTCCCTATTTATAGTGTCAATTCCTAAGCATAAACATTATAGTATTGGTGATGACTTGGTTTTCAAGTGTTGGAAAATGGTGCTCAGATTCAGACAACTTAAAATCACCTTTCCAAAGGGGGTCCCTAATGCACCCCCACCACGAGAGAGAAACCCAAACACACCAATTTAAGTAGCTTCTTTCTTTCTCAACATTTTTCCTTTTTTCAGCCTCTCTTCTTTCTCTCATGTCTCCTAAAACACATTCTCCTGCTACCATAAAACCTTAGAGAGAAGTAGTTCAGAGTTGCATAACCCTAGATAACTACTACTCTTCCTTTCGTAGCTTCTTTATATCCAGTAATTGCTTCTTCCTGTGTTCTTGTTATCTTTAATCTCTTATAATATGTTTTGCTTTCTTCTTTTTCAGTCCCAAAAGTTTTCTTTTATCATTTTTATTGTCTCTCATCACATATCTCTTTTGGATTACTTGCAGAAGTGAAGATTTGTGATTGACTTGTTGGAGGGTTATAAAGTACTGTCTTTTGATTTATTTAATTTTCAAAGGGAGAAGAGATATGGGTTCCATGAATTCAAACAACTGGCTTTCCTTCCCACTTTCTCCCACCCATCCTTCTTTGCCAACACATATGCACAGTTCTCAGTCTCACCAGTTCAATCTAGGGTTAGTCAATGATAGCATGGAGCACCCCTTCCAAACTCAAGGTATACATCTCTTTTAATTCTCTTAGCTATATTTTCAGATATTTGAACCCTAACTATAACCTCAAAATTAAAGTTTTGAAATTAGTTGATACAAATGGACAAATTTCTAGCTAGTAATTGGTTATCCTCCTTATATATATGGGTTTTTGTGTTTTTTTTTTTTTTTCTTGTTTTTAATTTGTACAGAATGGAATCTGATTAATACCCATGAAAGTGGAGAAGTACCAAAGGTTGCAGACTTCCTTGGGGTTTCCAAATCTGAAAATCAGCAGTCTTTGGATCTTGTGGCTTTCAATGAAATTCATCAGGGAAATGATTCTGACTACTCATTTCAGAACAATAGTGTAGTGCCAATGCCAACTGCTGCTGTAGCAGCGAATCACAACTATGAGTTCCAAGAAAACGCCAGCAATTTGCAATCTCTGACATTATCCATGGGAAGTGGTAAGGGCTCTACTTGTGAAGCCAGTGCCGACAACAGTACCAATAGCACCGTTGAGGCTACCCCTAGAAGGACCTTGGATACCTTTGGTCAAAGAACTTCTATATACCGTGGTGTAACAAGGTGAGCTTAGTTCATTTCCTTCTAAAATTTTTCCTAAAAATGTTGTATTTCTTTTGAGATTTGAGATAAATGGGTACTCTATATATTGGTGTGCTTGTTTAGGCATCGATGGACTGGAAGATATGAGGCTCATCTTTGGGATAATAGCTGCAGAAGGGAAGGTCAATCAAGGAAAGGAAGACAAGGTAGCTCTATGTAGTTCTTTAATTTCCTCAATAATCTAAGATAATTAATTATGCACTGCTTTGCTGTTTACTAACCATTTTTCCTCTATTTCTTCTTGGGTTTTCCTGGGTTTGCAACATATATATTGCAGTCTACTTAGGTGAGTGCAGTTAATACTGCATGCTTTTCTTCTTTTGACATAATTCTCATATTTTTGGTTTGCAAAATTTTTGAAGCTTTATTTTTGAACAGGTGGGTATGACAAAGAAGAGAAAGCAGCTAGAGCTTATGATCTTGCTGCACTAAAGTACTGGGGACCGTCGACAACCACTAATTTCCCTGTAAGTTTTCTAATTATCGTTTTCGTTGCAAAAATGGAGAGTGTGTGCATGAGATATTGGAAGTATGTAATCCTGAATTTATATTTGTTCTTGCAGATCAGTAACTATGAGAAGGAACTTGAAGAGATGAAGCACATGACAAGACAAGAATTTGTGGCTGCCATTAGAAGGTAGTTTAGATTCTGCTCATCATAAAAAAATCAACCCCACACGCCACAAATTGAAATAAATTAATGAATGCTGCAGACTAATTAATTACAAAACCTTATAATAATCTATGTTAAATTCTTCTAAGATTCCACAATGATATCTTATATAGCAGTATATAAGCCAGCTTTCTTTCATTTTGTTAATTCTTTGTGTCGGGGGTGATTATTATCATCAGGAAAAGCAGTGGTTTCTCAAGAGGTGCATCCATGTATCGTGGTGTTACCAGGTACCAAAATCAAATTTATCTGTGAAATCTCTCCATCTTCTTCCTGATCCTCATGCTCATTCCAGCATTCATCTTAAACAGACATCACCAGCATGGAAGATGGCAAGCAAGGATTGGAAGGGTAGCAGGAAACAAAGATCTTTACCTTGGAACTTTTAGTAAGTCTTCTTTTTGTCGTCTAATACTTTTTTTTTTTTTCTTATCTGACACTTTATGTCAAGATAAGATAGATTAATCTAAATCTAAACTAAGAATTCATGAGAAATTATCTCTATTGATCACTTCTAATATGGTTTGAAAATACCTGTCAATTATGTAGGCACTGAGGAAGAAGCAGCTGAAGCATATGACATTGCAGCAATCAAGTTCAGAGGACTCAACGCTGTCACCAACTTCGACATGAGCCGTTATGACGTCAAAGCCATCCTGGAAAGCAACACTCTCCCCATCGGAGGAGGCGCTGCTAAACGTCTAAAGGAGGCACAGGCACTTGAATCCTCCAGGAAAAGAGAGGAAATGATAGCTCTGGGGTCAAGTTTCCAGTACGGAAGCTCCAGCTCCGGTAGGTTACAGCCGTATCATCTACTCCAGACTCCATACGACCAACCCCAGCCTCTGCTCACTTTACAGAACCCAGAAATGTCTCAGTACGGCCAAGACACGGCGTCATTTCATCACAACTATATTCAGACCCAGCTCCAACTGCACCAGCAATCCGGATCGTACCTGCAGCAATCGGGTCAGAATAATTCGCAGTTTTACAGCAGTTATCTACAGAGCAATCCGGCGTTTCTTCATGGGTTGATGAACATGGGGTCTTCTGTTGTGGACAATAATGGCGGTTCCAGTGGAAGTTACAGCGGAGGGTATCTCGGGAACGGGATTGGGATCGGAACGAATTCTACGGTGGGGAATGCGGTTGGATCCACCGAAGAGATTGCACTTGTTAAGGTTGATTACGATACGCCTTCCGGCGGGTACGGCGGCTGGTCCGGTGAGTCGGTTCAGGGATCCAATACCGGCGTTTTTACAATGTGGAATGAATGAATGTTGGAGGTCTTGGGGGAAGAATTTGGCTGCAGGAGAAACCGAAAAAAAAAAAAAAAGTATTTAAATTTTTAGTGAAATGTTTAAAATGCCATCTTTAAGGCTTTTTTTTTTTCTTTAATTCTGCATTTGGATAATGTTCTTGACATCTTTTTCGCTTAAAAGGATTAGGACTTTTCTTGGACGTGGAAAAAAAAATTTACTAACCTCAAATTATGTTAATCGGATCAATATGGGTTTTCAATAACCTGAGTTTTGTATTTCGAAGATCCGTTCAATCTTCGGATTCTATCGTCATCAATATAGGTTTGTTTTTTTTTTTTTTATAATAATTTTTCGGTATCTAGTAACTACATTAAATTCTGATTAATTCAAAATTGAATTGCGTTGGATCTCATTTGAGAGAATTTCTTCCGACGCCTGTTTATTCATTTATAAAATTCGAACTCGAGATTTTATTTAAGAGAAATCGAGCTCTTTTTACTAAGATCAATAAGTTGTTGAAATCCATATAGGTTTGTTTTTAATGTGTCTTGTGTTACGTAGTCAAAAGTAACACTAATTTAATGTTATGTGATTATAGTAGGATTTAGTTTGTGATATATTTGGGGATTACATTAAAATTTCTACTTGTGAATGTCATTAAAATTGAGTATTCAATTCTTCAAGTAATGCCAATGATTTAAGTAGGTCAGTGATCATCTCCTTTTGTTGGAAGTAAGAGATTTTAAATTTGAATCGCATAACATGCGTGTAGAGTGAGATAAAAAATGATAGATAATTACCTTCCATTGTGCAATTAAGATAAAAAAAAAAAATCTCCACATAATGAATGGAGTGATAACACTTTGATTCTCCACATGATGGATGAAGTGATAATACTTTCTTTCATAAGTGAGAATACCATTAAGACAATTTGTGTTCCACCCCCAACTCTCCCTCTTCCACTCTTATTAAAAATATGTAATACTTATAATGGGTAATTGTTCTTGTTTAAAAGAATAGAGTTAAGTATAAAGTAATGTTTGATATAACGGTTAGCAGGTTTATTTAATTTATTATTAGTTATTTAAATAATTTTGTTTATTAGATTAAATAAACCTTCTAAACATTAGTTTTTAAATCACTATATGAAATAATTTTAGGTAACAATGTATGGGCAATCTTTTTATATATTATTTTTGTATAATTTTTATATGTTATTAAATAAGTAGATGTACTCAATATTACAGATTTTAAATAAATAAAAAGAGCCCTCAATTATTTCAATGATACATAAAGTTATATTAAAAAGTGGTATAAAAAAGTTATCCATAAATCATTTTTAAGTCAAAAGTGAAAATAACTTAATGAAACTATGATTTCAATAAATTCAAGAGATCTTAAATTTAAATTTATGCATGTAAAAGAGTAAAAAAGATAAAAAGTTACTTCCATTACATAACTCAAAATTAAAAAATAATAAAAACCTTTTTTTTTTTTTTAACTTCATTAGTTGTGCTATTTAGGAATTGTTTGGTTACCTTCAACTCGAAAAGCATTTTTGGGAAAGCCATCACTTTTTTTTAGCCAGTTTGAATCAAGAAATGAAACTTTTTTGGTATAAAAATTGAGGTGAAATGAAGTTGACTATATAAAAAGAAGGGGAATATTTTGGAAAATAATCAATTATAAACAAATATAACTCATTATGG